TATATATAGGTATATAAATCTCTTTCGGATATATTCGGGTACCCGAAATACTTCGGTTTGGGTCGGGTTTGGTTTCGGTTCTTTAAATACCAAAATTTTGAACCCATTCGGATATTGAATCAATTTCGGTTCGGATTCGATACTACTTTTTCGGATCGGGTTCGGTTCGGTTCTTCGGATCCGGGTTTTTTGCCCAGCCTAATAAAAATTTATATTTTTCCTGGAAAATATTGTGTTTTTGGCGATTAGACATCATGCTTATAACTTTAAAATGATAAAAATAATATTAATGTGAACTATATAGTTTGAGTTAATAATTGTACATTATTTATAAAATCAAATAAATATATTTTAAAGTTAAGTGTTTGTAATAAAACTATTTATTAGTAAAAGGAAAAAAAAAAGACAGATCAACACCACCAAATGTTAGCGGATGGGATCTGCATGCAGATCTCCTGCTTTTTGTACTAAAAGACAAAAAAAAATTGAACTGCATGCAGATCTCCCGCTTGAACTGCTTTTACAAACAGAAAATGGTGAATGGTAAACATAAGGCAGGAGAACTGCCTATTGCGGGAGAACTGCTTGATCTGCCTTTGTCCTGCCCCTCCCATTCATAACCTTAATGAAGATTTTCCATGATTCTAAATGATTGATTAACTGATTTAAATTGTACTAAAATATAATATATAAAAGTTATACATCCTCCTTCCCGCGCGTAAACGCGCGGGGTAGTTTCCTAGTTATAAGAAAACGAATACATTTTTGATACGACGATATGGAAAGGGACAAGTCTAGCAATTATCGGCTCTGACGTGGCACTCAGTCTAACAATTTCCACTAGCTTTCGTATTTATTTATCTACCTATTCCATAATAAATTATTAACACTGACCCATTTGAAATATCTCTGGCCAATGAATAGTTATAAGGTTGAATATACAAATGGTAATGGACGAAGACGTTGAAAAGACCAATGATGTGGAGAGGACACATCGAACGGAGGTTGTTGATCCAACAAAACATCTGCATCTGACGTGGCTATCACTTCTCAAGTTTATCACCCGTAATATTTGGAGCTCCCACAAAGGAAACTGTAAACTAAAGGTATTTCATATGACTGGTGTATGTGTAGTTGTGTAGTAAGAAAGGGTTCACTGAATTGTGCCACATAACAACATCATCAGATCTCTGGTACACTTCAAAAAGGAGATTAGGGAAGTTTTTTTTTTACATCAGGAGATTAGGCTAATTATTATTTTCTGAACGAGAATTATAATAGGCTAATTAATCTACTCGATTCATTATCGTTGAATTTTCAACTTGGGACTTTCTGCATCCTCTTGTTTTAAGTGGCCATGTGAATTATTACTACACGTTTATATTTTTTTTAAAAACACCCAATAATTGTTTCAACTTTCAAGCCTTTTTTGGCAAAATATACTGTCAATCAGTTTAGTACCCTTATCATTTCCTTAAATAGCACCTTCTTCGTTGACATCTTTTTTCTTTTTTGAGAAAGTCTTCATTGACATCTTCACCTGATTGAAACGAATCGTTTTACTTGTACTGTAAGTTATTAAGATGTGTTCATAATCACTAATACAAATATGTATTATATTATGGGTAAAACATGATACACAAATACTTTAGCAATTAGCAACAAAAACGTGGCTAGAAAAAAAAAAGAGAGCTGATATTAGATACTAACTTAAGATAATTTAAAAATAGGATTTTCTCGTTTAAGATACACCACATATTTTTTCTTTCTTTCATTCTTTCACTTGCCACCATTAAAACGAAACAAGAACAAAGCCCCGTTGATTTTTTTTAAGTCTACTAGTTCCAGAGAGACACGTCTAGATCTAATGAGGAAAATAAACACAAGTGACAAAGCAAAGGAAGAAAATAACAATAATAATAACAAAAGAAAAACAAGATAAGAAGAACTCTTACCAATGTCCACTTTCCAAAATAAAATAAAACAAATCACAACGTTTTCCACATAAAAGCAGACACACTTCACATAAGCTTCGCTATCACTTACGTGTTGAATACTTAATTTGACACTGTTTTCTCTTCACCTTTCTTATTGGTAAAATCATTACAAAACTTTTCTCTCCTTTTCTTTCTTTTCACTTTTATCAGATCGACAAAATCATCTTTTCATAACCAAAGACAAAGGCTCTCCTGCAATTTTGAAAATGATCAAAACAATCTCATCTCTGCGCAAAACTCTGGTTCAACCTCTTCATGTACATATTCGTACGGTATAGTTATCTGACAATCTGCAAAATATATATTCTTAGCCAGACAAAACTTAACATCTCAGAGACAAATATATTTGGCGAATGTTTTTTTGTTTATGAACAGTTACAAAGTTTTTCTAAGTACAACGCACAAGCAGCCACACCGTTGCGTGAGGAGCGCAAGAAACCTACTAATCAGTAAGTTTGGATCCAACTCCTATAATTAAATATATGCCTTTAACCAATACATTACAAAGCTCTGTTTCTTTTTCTTTCTTTTTTATGTAGAGATGATGAGTATGCGGATTTGGATTGGGATAATCTCGGGTTTGGTCTAACTCCAGCTGATTACATGTACGTAATGAAATGCTCAAAAGATGGCGAGTTCACTAAAGGTGAACTTAGTCCCTTTGGTAATATTCAGCTAAGTCCTTCTGCTGGAGTCTTGAACTATGGACAGGCAAGCCTCTTGTGACAACAAATGTTTCTTGATCTTTGTCTCTGATACTTTCTACTAATCAATGGATGTTTTGAGACTATTATTAACAGGGGGTATATGAAGGTACAAAAGCATACAGGAAAGACAACGGGAAGCTTCTTCTGTTTCGACCTGATCAAAACGCTATCAGGATGCAGATTGGAGCTGAACGTATGCTCATGCCTTCTCCTTCTGTTGATCAGTTTGTTGATGCTGTTAAGCAAATCGCTTCTGCAAACAAACGTTGGGTACAGAACGCTTTCTTTGTTATTATTCTCTGAAGAGGTTTCTTTTGGAGGATGTGAGTGAGTTTGTGTGTGTGTGTTTTGGTTAGGTTCCTCCTCCAGGGAAAGGGTCTTTGTACATTAGGCCTTTGTTGATGGGAAGTGGTCCAGTTCTTGGTTTAGCACCTGCACCTGAATATACATTCATTGTCTATGCTTCTCCTGTTGGTAACTACTTCAAGGTATCATCTATATATAGTCTCTTTCTCTTCCTGTTTAAGCTTTTCATTAGCAAGTCTTTTCTCTACTGTTTATAGGAAGGTATCGCTGCTCTTAACCTCTTTGTAGAGGAAGAGTATGTCCGTGCAGCTCCTGGTGGAGCTGGAGGTGTTAAGAGCATCACAAACTATGCCCCGGTGAGTATTTAAACCCACTTACTTTCAAAGATCAGAGGCAACAAGTTTTGATAAGCCATGTGGTGTAGGTTTTAAAAGCACTAAGCAGAGCCAAGAGTCGTGGGTTTTCAGACATTCTTTACCTAGACGCTGTCAAGAAGAAGTATCTTGAGGAGGCTTCTTCTTGCAACGTCTTTGTTGTAAAGGTAACATATACATATATACTGTGACCTCTATTTGCTGTATCTTCCTAATATCACTACTTCAGGGTCGGACAATCTCAACTCCTGCTACTAATGGAACAATCCTAGAGGGGATTACTAGAAAAAGTGTGATGGAGATTGCAAGTGATCAAGGTTATAAGGTAAAAAACAACAACTCAAAAGGTGCTTTAGCTCAGAAGAACCAACAATAGTAAAACTCAGATAAGTTTCTTACACTTGGGATATGATCAGGTAGTAGAGAAGGCAGTTCATGTGGATGAAGTAATAGATGCAGATGAAGTTTTCTGCACTGGAACTGCTGTAGGAGTAGCTCCTGTTGGCACTATTACATATAAGGACAAAAGGTAAAACAAAAAAAACACTCACAATGCCTTTGATCATTTTTTTTCTACAATCTCTAGACAAAGATTTGGTCTGATGTAATAATCTTTCTGAAACATTCAGAGTAGAGTATGAAACTGGGGATGAATCTGTCTGCCAGAAACTGCGTTCGGTCCTTGTCGGTATCAAGACAGGAACCATTGAAGATACCAAGGGATGGGTTTCATGCATCAACTGAGAAACCAATGAATACCACAAAGAGAGATTACTCTGCATTTGATTAAGCTGTGTATACACAACAATGAAGAAGACTGTAAATTGTGTTTCAAAAAAAAAAAAAAAGTGTTTCAAAAAAAAAGAAGAAGACTGTAAATCTATAATAAAATAAAACATAATATATTCTCATATTCACTAGGATAACGTAAAACAATGTATTCTGAATCCATATTTAATAAATGCATTCTTGGTTGAGAAAGAAAAAACAACTGAGAATCCAAATCATTCTTGTTTTTTTTTTTTAAGAAAAAAGATAATAATAACATGGAAGAACAGATATGATACTTAAAGGCCAAAGCCTTCTTCTATACAAACTCTTTCTCTCTTCAAACTTTTCTTGAACTCATCTTTGGAAGTACTAGAGCTCTGGTTTCAATGGACCTAAGAGACAAGAAGAAACTATCAATGAAGACAGAGATGATGGAGAGAAGCAAGTTTGTGTAGCTTTTTAGTTACCAGTATTAGGTGAGAAACTAGACATGTTCGATGGATTTGAGACGAACCCCATTTGGTAGAGGTTTTGTAGTTCACTCTCTAGTGTTGTCTAGATGAACAAAAAAAGAAATGTGTAAGAGAATTTGACAAAAGCATGATGTGTTGTTTCTACTGTTGCTTACCTGAGGTAATGAGTTGTATTGTGGATTTGTGGAGGTGGAAATGTTTGGTACTGTCCCTTGAAAACCGGTGAAAGGATTCAGACCAAGCGTAGGAGTGTTTCTGTCTCTTGATTGCAGAAGCTGGACAGAGAAAATGCAGGTTTAGTACTGATTCATAACTTGCAAACTATTCATTATTTCAATGTGAAGTTATGGGAGGGATTCGGAGCTTCTTACATCTTTAGCAAGAATCCTGTCTATATCAATGTTGAGTTCTGGATTCACAGTTGAGAGTTTCATAGACAAGAACTGGAGAAAATTAAGCAGAGAGATAAACATCAGAACCAAAACCTCCTCGAGCAAACTAACTAACTTGAGCGTTTCAAGAATCTTGTGTTATTGGGATAGTTTCTTACCTCAACCTGCTGTTGTAATGACTGAACATAGTTGATGATTTCATCAAGCATAACCGCTTTCCCAGTGATCTAGAAACCAATCATTAAAGACTTTCAGCTAAATTTTACTCGGAAATCAAAGGAAGTTAAAACTGTTAAAAGCCACATTTTAACTTCATTACCTTGTTACATCCAGGAACAAGCTCTTGAAGCAGTCTCATCCTTTCACTGATCTTTTCTCTTCTAACCTTCAAACAACAAACGAAAAAACAGCAAAACATCTCAGAACCAGTGATTGGCAGGAAAACAAATGGTATTTAGGTAAAAGAGATCATTACCCTTTCTGCAAGACTGTGACTATTAGTGGCTTGACCTCTTCTTGCCCTCATATGAATGTAGTTTTCTTTAGGTGCTTCTTCACTCTGTGAGCTCTCCTTGTTCATCTTCTCTTTACTCTGATCATTCTTCTGTTTCTTCTGACTCTGAGGGTCTTCTTGATATTCCTCCACAGCTTTCTGTCAATTAAACAAGAACCACTTGTTTCAGAACAAACCACATCAAAAACTTTTTAGTCTTTTTTTTTTCTAATTCATAATCTCATCTATGAACCTATTGCTACCAAACCAAAACATACCTTGTTCCATTGTGATTCGGCTTCTGGTTGCCTTCTTTTTCTAGCTGGGGAAGCACCACCAAGAACAACATCATCTGAAACCTGATGACCATCTCCAGCTCTGACCAATCTACCAACACTTTCTCCTTTCTTGTCTGAACCAAGAAAGTGACCACTACCTCCACAATCACCAAAAGGGAGAAGACTAGCAGGCATGTCATGATAACCAGAACTAGAACCGGTTTGGTAATGAGGGAAGCAACTCATCCCTGGATTGTCCATCCCCATTGAAGGGTAATGAGAGCTAGAGAATCCCCCACCACCACCACCATTGACAACTGGATCCCAATCTGCAGAAGAGAAGAAAGGATCTGCCTTTGAATACAAAGGCATTGATGTGATTCCAACTCTTGAGATCCCACTTTCATCATCTCCATGGTTTAACCTTATCTCACCTTCATGATTCTCCCCACCCATTTCCTCTGATTTAACCCTCTAAACAAACTTTAAACTTAGTTTGCTTCTTCGCAAGATGTAGCAGAAGCAACTCACAGGTTCTTTAAGGTTAAGAGAAGAGAGAAAGAGAACTCTCTTAGGATAGATAAATGCTTATTCGTACTCAAGTCAAACGAAGAAAGTAACTAAAGACTTATTATCACAGACAAAGAAAGCTGAGAACTTACTTTCAGAGCATAAAGTGGTACTAAGCAATGGATTTATAGCTAAGTTACAGCTCAGAGAAGCTTAACAAAAGAAAAAAAAAAATAAAGAAAAAAAAGTAGATTCGCTTTTAGGGCATGATTATTGGTTGTCCCAATTTTTAGTCCTTAGATTATTTTATTATTATAGTTAAGTTAAGAGTTTTAGTTAAGGACTTAGTTAAGAATGTAGATTATTGGTAGTCCTTAATTTTTAGTTCTTAGTTTATTTTTTGTCTCTTAAATAACATAATAGAGATTTGGCCTTTCACAGACAAGAACTCAAATGAATGTAAAGATCAGAGAACTTGGAATTTAAAATGAAGGAAACTGACACAAACCCCCAATGGATATGATCAAGTTGGTAGGATCAGAGAAGCAATGATTTGGAAGGAAGATTGAGACAATCCCTGTTTTGAGATACTCCAAGATTGTGGTGCCCTTAGAAAGAGTACAAATCAAGAATCAAATTGTTCGGTGGGGATTTTACATTTTACAGTAACTCTAAATTAAGATAACTAAGGGGAAAGAGATAGTACACTCAAAATGAAAAGGGTATCAAATGCTGTTTTTGCTTGAATTGGGAAGAATGAAGAATTTTAAAGTTGGGGGTACTTGAACAAAGAACAAAGCAAGCATCAAGTTCCAACTTTTATAGAATCAAAGAAAACATTAATGATAATTGTGTTTAGAGACAATAAAAGACCTAGAGAAAGAGAATAAAACACAAAGTAAAGCTGATAATTACCATTTGAGAGAGAGAGAGAGATGTTGAGCTTAACACTAAACAGAGGAGACATAATAATATGATTATTAAAACAAAAGACAGAACAACTACTGCCAAACTGCTTTACTTTCTCTTTTCTTTTTTCATTATTACACAACCTAATCTACCTCTTTACCATGTCTTAACCTTTTTCCTTTTTTGATGAAAACATGTCTTAACTTTTACACTTAGGAAGTGTTTAAATTGACATCTAAATGTACAGAACAATTTATGTTTTTTTTTAACTTCTAAACGATATTAAAAACATATTGTTCGTATTTATATCAAAGTCTCATTGTGCAAGCAAGAGGGTTCTTCTCTTCATGGCCAAGCTTTGCTTTCTAGCTTCTACTCTGACATGTGCTTTAGAATATTATAACATATAAGTAGTACACATACATGCATGTATAAATCATATACATGATAATATTATTTTTACTGACAACTATATAGTATTCTAACAGAAGACTCTCTGCTGTGACACACTCATATTTTTGTTCTGAATGCCAACTAACCAACCCTCTTTCGGAATAATTTTCCTCTCACCTTTTCTATCAGCCGTGTGATTAAACTTAGATCTCATCTCTACAAGACTACACCGTTGGATCCAAGCAACATATTTTTATTCTTCCTTTTTTCTACTATTTTCCTTTCTAAATTGAATATATGTGATCACATAATACATACTTTCCTTAGTTCTCAGGAATTAAAGGTAGTTTGAAATTTTCTTAACTAAGTGAAATTTGGCAGAGGAACGTCTTGTGTATGTTTTTGGTGTTATTACCAATATTGCAACTTGAGAAGAAAAATAAAATCGTCATTTCTTGAAATTGCATGTATGAAATACAGTGCGTAAATTTTACGAGGATCCTAACATCTAGGTGATACTGTGTTGTCATTTTCTGAAAACAAACAAAGTTAAACTGGCAAGAAGACTGATAATTTCCAAAAGAAAAATTACTTGTCTTCATTTTTCTTTTTCTTGAAAACAATACTCACTAAATCAAAATCACATCTTGAAATCATATATAGCCGCTCTTATTCTCTTGAGCAACAAAAAGACAAAAGCAACTTCAAACCCTTATTTAACTAATAATCTTACTGCCTAAAAAAACTTTACCGGTTTTATGATGTGTTATGATTGCTATGAAACATGGGTTTGGAAAATTATTAAATAGTACTTATGTCAATTCTCGTTTTTGCTGTTTTTGTAATATTGATGTTAGGTATAGCCTAATAGCGGTTCAAACACACGATATGAAACCAGGAAATCATCATGATCCCAGCAGTGATTGCTAAGTGCAGTTTGGTCATCAGGTAGTTCCAATTTTGGATCTTAAGTATGAACAGCTTAATCTTCAAAAAAAATGTATGAACAGGAGGTTCGATCTCCTGCTTCTTACAAATGAGTCATATACGTAGTTGTTGGTATATCATTTTTCACAATATAATCTTTTTAAAAAAACTTAAGACAAATTAAAATGCGGTGGAAACAAGTTAACAATCACATCTTTATAAGAAACGCTAATTTATGATACGAAGCAGACGCAATAATACTAGTAGTTAACTTTTTATGTCAACAAAATAATCCTAGATTATTAGTACCAAAACACTATATTAATATATATCATTGTCATAGGAGGAAACATAAGGAATAAAAGGGAATCAATTAATTGATAATTATATGTATAAATGTCGAGCTACAGCTGTTTATAAGACTCGGACGCAGTAGTTTTTGTACTAGTTCTTGTAGGGCTTGTTGGGACAACTAACCCCCAACAACCTTAAATCATGGTCAAACTTTATATTATTTGGTCAAACCCACAATCATAGTTGTTAATTAGCTGTAAACCTGTAACTCATACTAGTATATACTATATACACAACTCATGTC